TGTGGGGTTTCTCCACTCCAAATGATTGTGTCTCTGACCAAAAAACAAATTCACTGACCTGGCTGGTCTCTTATCTCCCTCTCTTTGTCCAAACGGAGGAGACACTATGGAACCCCTCTATCAGGCTGGGTCCATCCTCATGAAGGTGAACACCTTACAAGGGAAGAAGATGGTGGAGAGCGGCCTCCAGTCTGGAGACTTCTCCCTGCCCCAGTCATGGCCCTCCTGCCTCCTGCCACCAGCCGATTTGGAGATCCTGCAGCAGAAGGTGGCCGGGGTGCAGCGGGAGCTGGAGGACTTTAAGAAGGAGGCACTGAAGGCCATCCACTACCTGGAAGACGCCTTCTGCGAGATGAACGGGGCCCTGGCGCAGCAGGAGGAGCAGGCGGCCCGCGTGAAGCAGAGGCTGAGGGAGGAGGAGGACCGCGGCGTCGTGCGGAACAAAGTCCTCACCTTCCTGCTGCCCCGCGAGAAGCAGCTCCGGGAGCACTGCAAGCGGCTGGAGTGCCTGCTGCTGGGCCGGAGCTGCGAGGCGCTGGGCATCCCCGGGAAGATCCAGGCAGACTGAGGCCCCTCGAGCAGAAGCCAAGTTCCTAGCCAAGCAGCCAAGTGGAAGATTCTTTTAGATGGAAGGACACACCCTGGGTCCCTATCCACTGCTCCCCTTCCCCCATTTTCATTGCTTTCCTTTCACTTAAATAACACCTTGCTGAGAGGTAAAAAGACCCCCCCACCATGTTCTTTTGGTGAAATTCCATTTATCCAGCATCACCCAAGAAGGAGGCGCCCCAACTCTAAGGCTTTTAACGACATCCTCTAACTTTCCCCTGTAACTGTTTTCCTGATTGTAATGGTGCAATTGCCCAAATATATAACATGGTTTTTTTTTTAAACCTTCTTAAACTGACTGTGTTGAACAGATTTACCTTCTTTTAATGACTTCAGGCTCTCACGACTTGTTACTTCATCGACGGGCTGCCGAGAGGGGTCGATCATCCGCCCAAGGACTCAATGGCCTCAAAAGTGAAATATTACTTTCGTAGCTCTGATCCTCGCCCAGGTGGCTTTTCTGCCTGCTTGCACCGTTAAACTGTCACATCTCACTTTTCTTGGCTGCCTTTGCCCACTTCTACGTCCTCTCCGTTTGGTCTGCAGACCAGCCGGTCAGATCCACAGCGCGTGTTAGGGCTCTGATGGGTGGAGTCGTTCGAACTTAGTGCACCAATAAGGCAGCACCTGTAAGGTGGGGCTATAAGGCGGTGAAGCTGATGTTCACATCCTTCCCATGGAGTAGGAATTGTTAGGGCGCCCAGCCACTCATCAGGCAATGTCCCCACACCATCCCTCTAAACAGCAGAGGCGAGATGCCTGGAGGTGAGAGTCAGCACCGGAGCAGAGTCCAGCCTCTGCCCTTGCAGCTCGGGATGTGCAGCCTGGGCCACACCCTCTGATTTAGTCTGGCTCGGTCCCAGCCAAACCCTCCTTCTTTCTTAGAATCTCTCCAAACACGATCCAAACACCTAGAACGCCCAGGCTGAATGTCACAAAAGGACTCTGTGACCCATGGTCCCCACATCCAACTGTCAGCCACCTATCCTGACAGGCTGCCTCCCTGTTCTAACTTTAGGTAGGTTCTACTTTGGAAGGTTTAGCTGAACTGGTAATGACAGTGTGAATATAGTAATATGATTACTACTACTATTAGTTTATAGTTGTCAAGAATATGGTATAATCTAGGTACCAAGCTGGGCCTTTGGAAGGCAGGCACTATTATAATGTTTGCTTTAGGATCCTGAGGAAACCAAAGCTCAGAGAGGCTAAGTGAGTCACCCAAGGTCACACAGCTGATAAATGGTTGAGTTGAGATTTGAACCTAGGAATGCCTGCCGTCAGAGTCTGTGTTCTTAACCACGATACATTCTCTTTGGAAGTTAAGTACTTTTTGAATAGATAACATACGAGTGTACCGAAATTGGTGAGGCGAGCTCTGGGAGAGAGGATTGTTTTGGTGGTGTGTATGTGGGGGCGGGGGGATCCTGTACCCTTAGGCCTTGTAGGGGAGGTGCTTGTGTGTTTTTATAAAGGTATCTGAGAAGGAGCACTTGGTTGGCCAACTAAAAGAAGAGGTTTAAACAATCAGCCGCCCTATGCAGAGGAAAGTGAACCTAATGCTAGTTCCTGTGTAAAAGGATCTGTCTCCCACGTGTTCAGCGGATACTCAGGTTGCTCAGAAGTGACAGTGGGAATTCCGAGAACAGATGGAGAGATGCATGCTGCCCGTGGCTGGTGCCCACCAGGCCACACCTGGAGCGTCTGTGTTGAGTTCCGGCCCAGAGTTTTAGGGGGTCCTACACAGCCTGGAGTGGCCTCAGGCAACCCTGAGGAGGGGGCATGTTTGAAGGACTGGGGGACCTTGACTGAAGAAGTTTGAGGGGACATCTGGTCATGCCCTTCCACACACAGGAAGGCCTGATTGAGTCTGGGTTTGGTGGGCTAGTAAATGTCACCTCTCTTGTCCCTGCCTGCATTAAGATTCAGCTGAAGAGTAGGCCCAGGGGCCAAGCAAATGGAGCCAAACCCCACCTTTATTCCCGATAAAGCTGAGAAGGTGGTTTAGACCCTGGGAGCCTGTGGGCTGGCTAAGACCTCAGCCCTGACCCTGATGCCTGCCGTGGTGGACAGCTGCCTCTGTCAACCAGATTGCGTGACCTCTCTATACAGAGACGGCTCAAGAGAGAGGAGGGCGAGAGCTGGGTGGGAGCTGACCTCTCTACCCGAGCCACCAGTTCGGAAAGTTATTTCCCTTTCCCGAGAGGAATAGGGGAGGGGGAGGAGAGCCGGGAACACTGCTTGGGTGGAGGCCCCTCCCTAACGAAACAGGACGAGGAAACAGTGGTCCCCCTCCGAACAGTTAGGAAAAGGGCTAGACTGAAGCCATGCAGTTCTGTGGTGTAGCAGTAGCGACAAAGGGTGGATGCTAGTGGGAGGCAGATTTCAGCCCCCTGTAAGAAAAATAGCGTTGGGTGCTTCCTATGCGTCTGTGCAGTAAAGGGTTGACTCAGCAGATGTGGGATGTTCAAATCTTGCACGTTTCAAAGAGAGGTCTGGCCCCTGACCGGCTCCTGGGAGATAACCTCTAAGCCCTTGTAATGTGCTGCCTGATACAAGTGTCTTTGTTTACCTGGGGCTTTGGACAACGCCAGGTAGCTGATGCTAACAATGTCTGATTTAAGCTGGGGACTCTGGGCCAAGCTGTATCAGTTTGACCTTTGGAGGGGCTGGAGACTGAGTAGCTAAGGTCGGCGACGGAGGAGTGCTCCCCGCCTAGGGAGAGACACCGATAAAACCCTGGTCACCAAGACTCAGGTGAGCCTCCCGGCTCACAGGACTTCGTGTGTGTTGTCACACGTCACTGCTGGGGAGATTAAGCACTGTCCATAGAACGCCACTGGGAAAGGACAACCAGAGTCCTGTGCCCGGCCCCTCCTGGGGACCCGGCGCTGTGTTTGTCTTACCTTTGCTGATCTTAATCTGAATCCTTTAGCTGTAACAAACCATAATCAAGCGCAAAACAGGTTTTCTTAGTCTGCGAATAGTTCTAGTGAATCACTGAACTTGAGGGTGGTCTTGGGGACCCACGGCGCAGTGTCAGATACACTTGACATTTCATCCTTATTATCCTCACAATTACTTTGTGAGCTGGGCGCTATTATCCCCATGACAGATGAAGAACTGAGGCACAGAGAGGTTAAGTAACTCACCTAGGAGTACACAGCAAGACTCCAAAGCTCCCTCTCTTGACCACCCCCCCTATACCAAAGGAAGGGGTTTGAGTGATGGACTGGAGGAAGGGTCCCGTGGAGGTGGCCCCAAGGCCCTCCAGCTCCAAGGAGGTGAGTCATCCTGGAATGATGCTGATGGAAAAGGAAGAGACAGGCAGTTTATGAGTTTCCTGTCTGGGAGAGCTCAGCTGCACATATGCCCAGGTTGGGTTAGACAGTGTCCTACCTGGAGACAGTGTGAATGCCTAGGTGTCCCTTCA